CCACCTTCTTCTCCTCTCCTCATTCCAAAAACTTGCTAGCAAGAGAGAGAAAGGTGATGCTCCTTAAGACAAATTGTGTTATCATGGATGAGTGCTTTTTACAGCTGTATGTGAAGTAAAGAGGTCACATCTCTCCTCTCCATGGAAGAGGTTTCGCTTGTTAATGCTGGCTTATAATGCACATTTCTGATGTGGAAAAAACCCACGAGGTCAATCAAACAAAAAATATTCATACGGTCAAGTTTCACTGTTGTGAAGGTTTGTGGTATGCCTGAGTGACATTTCACTCTGGTGAACATCATCCCCACAAAGATGGGCCAAATTAATCCCTACAGAAGAAAAACCTGAGAAGGATCTTGGTACCTACACAGTGTAAACTTCTGTGCCCTCTATCTCCGTGTTTCCTGTTACCACAATGAGCTGCTTTATCATTTAGTCAGTCTCTTTAATAAATAAAGGGGCACAGCTTCATTATCAGATTTTGTTAATCCCTATGGGGATTTGTGAGGGAAGGGGGAAGAAGGGAGGGTGGTGGTATATTTATTTTGTTGGTTTGAGGTTTGTTTTGGTTTTTTTTTTTATTAAGAGATTAATGTCTTATGTAAGACATTGTAAATGAGGACCTTTTAAATTTACAAAAGGATCTCCTGACCAATGAAAGTGTGAGGAGGGGAGGTTTTGTTTGTTTTTTCTTTACAACAGCTTATACAGGAACAATCTTAATTTCCATGCATTGATAGGAAACAATTTGCAAAGCCCCAAAGTTGCAATTCTGAGCAGTGTAGTAGTTTTACATTCACTGTCTTTGTTTTTACTCTAGAATAAATTGCAACATTAAAACTTGATGGAAAACATCCACGTATCTGCAGAGGTGATTTCATCACCAAGAACACACATGAGGTGCCTGAAGCAAGCTAGATGGCAGAGCTATTCCTAGAAGTACACCTTGCAGGAAAACTGTAACCATAACCCTCAGTTAAAGAACCCCACCGAATTCTTTCCTACTTTACCAGGTTAATTAGATAACACGTGACCTGTGCTGTTTTGCTTCCATAATAACGTGAAATAAAGAACGTCACTGCAACTATACGTGCTTCGTCATTACTGTGATCCTTTCCTTGGTCCACTGTAACAAAAAAGATTAAAAAGATTTCAGGGTATTTTTTGCTAGGTCTCCTCTCAAACATATTCCAAACAATCGGCGCTTGTGTTTTCTTACTTTATTACTGCTGTGACCACGCCTACCTTCAAGTTGCAGGAACTAGGGGCAGGGTTGTGAAAGTATTTTCAGACAGGCTGCAGATGACTGCTTTGCACCTGCTGAAAGTATCATCAGATGAGAGGGGCAGTTTGAAACGCAAACCACTATTTAGCTCTTATTAACTATTAAACTACTAATGAACAACACTTTTACACAACAGTGGCTACAACACACAAAAACTACCTCTGAGTGTTTTCACGGCTTGCAAGTACAGTGACAAACAAATCACTGATCTGCAAGTTTTGTCAGATAGAGCAAGTAAAGAACATATACAGAAACATGAATGTCCTAAAAACTTAACATATTGATTTAGTTCTCATACAATATCCAAGTGCTTTCTACTGTCTGGCATTAATTGCAGCATTCTTTGCTTGCTATTCTTACTGTGGAGCAAACAGAGCAGGCTGAGTGCTGCACAGAACAGAGATGCTGGCTCTCCTCAGACTATGGAACCATATAGAGATAATGTAAAACAAATTTAAAGTGTCAGAAGAACAAGGTTCCCTAAAACTTAATACTGAAAACTTTAATTGAAAACCAAAACCAAACAAAACCTACAGCAGCAAATGAGAATCTTTGGATATTCTAATGCCTGGTGCAGCATAGACAAAGCAGCTGTGTGATACTGGAAGAAAGGAAAAGCAGTCTTGGATTTCCATTTTTTTTCCAACTTAATCGCAAACATAATTTTGTATTTTCTAATTACTCATTTGGAAAGTCATAAATAAGGGAAGTTCAGTGTCTAGCCCCCTATTTGTGAAATTAAGTAGAAGATAACTAAATGCAACAAACCAGAACACTGGTTCATACATGTAGATCACCAGTATATTCAAATATTACAATCAAAACACATTTTGTCTCCAAGCCAGCATTCAGTTTTTGGTTTCATCTTATAAAACAGTTTTTACAGTTTGTCAACATTACACTTCTGTTTGACTGATAAGCCAGACAACTACTGAAGGGGAAAAAAAAAAAAAGAACATCCATATTCTAAGGGTTTTTTACTGCAAAATGCAACAAGGAGACAGAAAATAACAACAGAACCCTCAAGCTGCACAGTGGCATGCAGAAAGAGTTTCGTATTCCTAAAATAATGCTTATGTGATTGGCAGAAATTAGTAAAAGAAAGAAAATTGATTCAATGACATGTAGCACGTTGAGCAAAAATGACTGGTAATGAAGAAAATCACCACACGATGGCTCCAGATACAGAGGCTTTTGAACAGAGTTGCACTTACTGGTCATACAGAAGGATCCCTACAAAACAACTCAGACAGCTCTGCAGCAGCAGGGGTGAAGGAATACAGCAAGCAGAGCTCACCCACTCTTAATCCAGGTAATACAGGGGTCACTTGCTTCTCACAGCTTTCCCTGGGTCACCACCGTGTAAGAATTCAAGCCACTGCCCTCTCACCCATGGTTTGGAGAAACTTCCTCAGACGGTGCCCAAGAGGATAGTCAAGATTGCTGAACGGAATACAACGGGGAAATTGATGGAAACCCACTTCTTGGGTCACAGAAGGAGAAGGAAGCAGCTGTCTCCCATTTATTCGTTCAAACTCCTCATCACTTTAAAAAGGCTGCAAGCAAATTAACTTAAATACAAAGGATTAGTTCTTAAAAGGCCACAATGAATTACCATGCGTAAGTGCACTGTTGCCTTGCACCTAGCTTCAAATATATCCTGTAATATTGTAAAACAGATTAATCAGTGATAAATCACTGGTGAAGAGGGGGCATTGCCGGGGGGGGTGGGACTAGATGGTCTTTAAGGTCCATTCCAACCCCTATGATTCTATAAAATAGTAAGCTGTCTCTTGGGGCCTCAGCTTTTACAGCTCTTGAGTTGCAAACAAAAAGAAACCCTCTCTTCTAGGCTGTTTTTTTCATAAATTATTCACTAGGAGGTTTCTTGTATCCTTTTTCAGGACTTGATACAAAACAGAAACACAGTTCTTTTTCTCTTGGACAAATGGCCTTCCCCACCTCTATTCTCACATCTACTGGAGAGGAACGCCATCATATACGTGGTCCAGAGTAAGGGCTCTCATGGTAGAAATGAAAGGTACTTTCCTTCCAGCTGTTTCTAACATTTCACAGACCTCTGCGGTTGTGCTCTGGTAAATCCATCACGCCGTGATAACTCCCTGCGCTCCTGTATGCTGGTAACTGCTAAGGCAGACTTGCATTTCTGCAGCAAAGCATTGTGTTTCGTTGTGTTGGTCCTCCTTTCCCTTCAAAAGAAATTTGAAGAAAATTAGTGGATACAGTGTGTGTGGGGGGGGTGTATCCTGCCATGAGGCTTCATTACACTGTGTTAGACTGTAGGAACAAGGTAGATGTTTTGTTGGAACTCACCAAGGAGGAGCTGAGAAACTGGCAGGTAGTAAGTATAGTGGGTGCTGAAGCAGCAAAAAAAAACCCAAATCCAGTTCCGCTCATCTTAATTAAACCCCATGAACTACTTCAGCAACCCATAGAAACAAGGGACAGGGAGAGAGCAAACTGCCCTCTGCCTTGTTAAAAGCTTCAGGTAAAGCTATGCAGCACGGTGTTACTGGTGACAACCACTAAGAGTTTACGGGCATAGTAAGAGCAGAGCGAGAGTCACACGGACAAGAAGTACACTTTTGCACCTTGGAGTTCAGCTTACTCAGCTAGACGAGGTTGGCTGAGTGGTTCTGCAGGCACGCCAGCACCTTTACATCACTGTTGGGGACCACAAAGAAATGGGCTGAGACCATGGCTGAGGGCAGCACTGCAGCTACACTGTACTCTAGGACTGTAGGAACAGATTTAGAGTGGAGGGCAGGAGGCAAGAGAATGTTCTTTGCCTGAACTGTAAGCTGTGTAACAATGCTATCGTGTTGAAACAACAGCCTATAAAATATTCAGTGGGTATCTCTTTCACTGACCTGATAAAAATGTATAGCTCAGGGCCCAGAGGCTCGCTCTGACATCTCAAAATTTTCCACTAGGAAACTGATGTAAATTAATGCCAAACAGCAAATGCTGTCATTACAGCATTCAGGAAAAAAACATGAGACAGACTTCTAAAACAGCAAATCTCTCCTGGGGAAAGAAAAAAAAAGAAAAAAGACAAAAGAAGGAATTGTTTATTCTACACTTTGAATAAAATCAGCAATTACACCACCAGTGAGAAGGCTTCTCTCTGCTACGGAGCAAACTAGGACTTAACAACACACCCCGCAAACCTCCTCATCTGCCACACCAGCAATGAAGGACCTCACTAAGGCTTTGTTTCAGGTAATCCACACGCAACAAAGCCAGACTCAAGTTCACCATGAGTCCTCAGCAGAGAGCATGCTAGTATCAAAAACCACGGGGGTGCTGGCTCAGTTTAGGAGGATTCTGAAGGCTTGAGCTGGACTTTGCACCCAGCAAGACTCTGTGTTTGGGCAAAGACTAAGAGAAAAGGGAAGCAGATTTGCATCCTTGGTCTGCTACCACTGGCTGCCCAGTTTAGCCCAAGAGTCACAATGTGTTAATGCAAATGAACCATAATTTCATCTGATTTTTCCAGAAATTTTAAAGCTGTTGCCCAGTTCAGTGTAACATGGTATACATACAGAGGTTCCTTTCAGTAAGAGAAGGAAGGCTTAAGTTGGTTTCTATTCATGGCTACTAGTCACGTCTTCACAAAACATCATACACCAGAAAGGCACAGGTCTCTATGCAAGGTATCTCTGAATCAACAAAGAATTCAGTCAAATAGGACAGGTGAAAGAAAGATTTAAGTTCCACAGAAGTCAAGCCCAAAGTTCATCTGAAATGAAGGACCTTACCTCTCTGAAGAGGACAAAAATGACAAAGGCACAACAGTAACTGTGCTTTAACTGAACTTTTTAATAGAGATGGATACAATTTATACACTGTAAGCCAGTTAACAATTTTCATTGACATCTTATTACTTAAGTGAATAAATTAATGGTCAGCTGAACAAAAAACTCCAAAGGAATGAGTGCAAATCCCTTGAGGAGTTCTTCCACTGCTACAGTTACTGTTATCACTGATACACACCCAAAACTGTATTGCTATGATTCTTCTGTTTCTCAAAAAGCCTCCACTGCAGCACCTACAGTATTTCCCTGACTAACTCATTTAATGACTTACAGTCCATTATCAGATGGGCAGCTCTTTGGTAAAGGTGTGGCAGCAGATTCTTTGCTTTCTGTCAATGCTCGTGGCTGATGGACAAAAACGCTGAACCTGACTCCTTGGTTTGCCGCTGCCCTCACAAACCCACTATTTGCAGTCATGGTGATGGCTTTCAAAGTGTCTCCTGTCCCAAAAATGGTCAGAGAACGGCTGTTGATCTTTGAACTAGCCACTAGTCCTAAGGCACGCTCAGACGGCTGATCTGGCACCACGGTAATTCTTTTAACGAGCAGTGCAGCTCGCTCTTTCTCCCCAGGTCCTCCCAGCGTTTCCAAGATGGACTGAAAATCTCTGACAGCAGATTCGCAGGCAAAGAGCTCTTTTCCCTCCATGAACTCCTCCAGCTGAGGCAGCACTCTCTCCCTCCTTTCCTGGGCTGCTTGCTCTGTCAGCACTTTTTCTTTGAAGACAAAGTAGCAGCCCCCGTAGCTCAGAGCAGAGACGTAGGTTATTAGGGTAGTGATGTCCAAGTTAACTCTATTGCAGACGTTTACTTTGATCTGAGTAGGAAAAGCAATGCTGGCCACTAAATTCTCCCGGTCCACTCTGGTCACCTGCAGGAGTTCAGGGCCTTCTTCATCTGATTCACTGGCGCTAGGGTGCTCGTTGTCTGCAGATGGCTCCACCAGAGAGTTCACAGCTACAACGTCTCCTCTCACAGATATTCCCATCTCCTTGAGTCTCTCTGCCATAGGACTGGACACGCTGTTGTAGAACGCAAAGATGATGTGGGGATTGCTGTATTCCACTGGCTGCTGACGGCTTGCTTGCAGGAAGTCCTCTGCCTGCTCAATGACGCTTTTGTCACCATACTGGCCTCTCCCCAGCCAGATGTTGTGCAGGGCCTCAGCTTTCCGACCGATGGCCTTCACCCACGTGTGACCTCCGTTTGCAACAACATCTACCACCAGGGTCTGTTTGTCTCCAAACCTGTCCTCATAGGCAAAGACATGGAGGACACTGACAACATCCTCCAGGTTCTCTGCCGACTGAACAATGGCTTGGAGGTGGGTAAGGTTTGTACTCTGCAGATGGGACTCTTTAATGGCCACTTTCCCTGCCTCCACCTTGTGTAGGAAGTTTAGCTCAGCCTTCAGTTTGCTACATAGCTTTGCCCCACCTTCTATTCTCCTTTTCTGGGACTTGGAGAGGGCTTCTGCTCTCTTGATCAAGTCTTTGGCAACGGCGATTCTTTCACAAAGCAGTGACTGCACAGACATGTTGGAAACATTATTCCTATCAAGTGAGAGCAAAAGAGAAGATTGTTAGTGCACGGCCAAGAATAAAGACAGCGAAAAGAGGTCTTTCCAACACTGTATACTTCAGCTTTGCAGTAGACTTTGTGCAACAGCTACCAGCGCTGTAAAGCACAAGCATCTGGAACCTCAGCACAAGTCTCAGCAAAGAGTTCAATTCCTTTCCTTTACCCTTGGACATCCAACCCACAGACCCAGAAGACCCCAGTTCTCAGCTAGGAGGAACAGCAGCATTCAAGGCTCCACGAACACCTTGCAGGTTTGTGGCTTCTTTCCAACGCCCTCTTCTCCTCCCCTGCATAGAAGCCCTTCACTGAACCAGTCACTTAGAGAGATGTTAACTCCTACAGTTCATTTGCAAAAGTTGCCATCCAGAGCAAAATTAGAAATACAGTTAATGCCATAAGTAAATCTTGCCTCTCTCTCTCATCACAGTTATCACTAAAATTAAAAGCTACCACCATGCTCACAGATACACATAAAAACTGACTCCAGCAAGTATTCTAACACAGCACAGAGGAAGCCCATTGCACTTCACAATTCTGGGGAGCACAGCTCTATCCTCTCCAGCTTCCAACTTGCACTGCTCAACTCAGTGGATGAGCCCCTAAGAGATTGGAACAGGTTGCCCGGAGAATTTGTGGATGCCCCATGCCTGGAAGTGTTCCAGGCCAGGTTTGATGGGGCTTTGAGCAACTTGGTCTAGTGGAAGGTGTCCCTGCTCATGGCAGGGGGGAACTAGATGATTTTTAATGTCTCTTCCAACCCTAACCATTGTGTATATATATATATATATATATATATATATATATATATATATATATATAAAAACCATATGCTTCTATTATACAGCATCATGTCAGATTCATGATTCTAGGGTCAGGAGAATCTAGAAATTGCCAAGAGATGTACTGTGCTGCATCTGATAAATCTATTCCTTTGCATTTGTATGATTTTACTATGCTTCCCTTAAGGAAAGTATGAAGGGAATTACTTCACTGAATATGTGCTGTCTGGGAAAAACTGTAGGATCCATGCCACAGCAAACAATAGCGCAATGACGGGCAGTAAATAACCATAGTGAATCATGAAATTAATCGGTTTTGACTCCCAGCTACAAGTATAAACACTGGAATTCTTCCTGTAATTCTTACCTAACCTGCATGTCGAAGCAAACTGGTGCTAAAGGACTAGACAAACGAAGCTTCAGCTGAAAACGAGCAACAGGACAGAGCTTGGATCTTACAGCAGGCTCTGCCAGAGCAGCAGTGGAGCCCACCTTCAAGGAGTGGAAATCACCCTTGCACTACGCACAAGGGGAAACAGCTGCCCGGTCAACATCCAGCATGTTCCACCTGACCAAAAACCCAGCGCCTTCCGACCGGACCTACCGACTCTCTTCATAGCCCAGGCAGAGAAATCACACTTCCTCCCCACAAAGTCTTCTCCTACAAGCTTATTCCCGTGTGCAAATCAGCGAGTAAACCCCCGCGGTTAGCGCCTGTGCACCCCTCCCCACAGCAGCTACAACTGCTACTCGCACGCTGAGACTTACACAGAGCCAACATCAAGGGCTGCAGTGCGCGTAAACCCACAAACCCCAATACTTTCTCAGCATAACGACTGCACGGTGGCCCCGCTACGAACCACGGGTTTACAGACAGGCTCCCCTTTGCCCCCTCCCTTCGCCCCAGGGCCCGATGTTCCCCGGGCGGGCCCCGCCGCCCCTCCCCGCCCCGCTCCGCCATCACGTGGCCGCGGTGCCGGGGAGGCCGCGGCGCCATCTTAGCTGAGGGCACGGCGCCCTCAGCGCTCGCCCCCGGCCCGGTGGTCCTGTCTGCCCCCGGCATCGCCCTCCGCCCACACTCCGGCCTCCAGCAGGGCGAGCGGCGGGACGCGGGCGGCTGCGGGACGCCGGCCCTTGTCCCCACTGTCGCCATCGTTCCCCCCAGTCACTCCCGGGCCAGCCTCGCCTTTCCGGGCGTTCCCGGCCCCGCTCCCTCCTCCGTGTCCGCCGCCTTTCCCCGGCCCCCGCAGCCCGTACTCACAGCCCGGCGGCCACAGCCCTCGCCCCGGGCCGGCGTGGCGTGTGGCTGCTCGGCCCGGCCGGCACCTCCCCCGGGGCCGCCGGGCGGGGACACGGCACCTCCCGCCTCGCTCGGCTGGGCCCGGCCCGCCCGGCCTGGCCGTAATCGCCGGCGCGATTCTGTGCTAAATATGAGCAAGTGTTCCCCATGCTTGCCCCAAGTTGCTGCCTGCCTTTGTGCAGCAGACAAAGCCATGGTCTTGCCTCTCTCCATGCGGAAATATTCCCTACCCGCTTGGGAGAGACTTGCCTTCTGATCACTGGGTCCTGCAGGGAGCAAGGGCCTAAAATGATTTCACAAGGTCTGGAAAGCAATAGGGAGAAAAAGTTGTAAAGGGCTTACTGCACCTGTATTTTCTTTACTGTGTGGGCGACTGTGCACTGTAACAGAGGGGTTGTGGAGTCTCCCTCACTGCAGATACTGGA